GATTGTTAGCCAAGAAAAACCCAGAATTCACAATGTAACAACAAACCATGGGTTCTCATCCTGGGTTGTTCATAGTTGACAACTAATGGTTAACCATACTGCAGTGACCTCATATATAAGCTATTTACAATTCAGTGACAATCCATACTCAACCCCTACTCTACATTGTCATTACATGTGAATCAGAGCAGTTGTTTAGGAGTTAGACAAACCAGAGTTAATCCATGAGCTGCAGTTACATGCAAATGTCAGGCGAGGCTGCCATGGAGGACTTGGAACCTACAGCCATGCTTGCAATGTCCAGCATTGCTGATGCTGCTGGAATCCACACTACACAATATAGCACAATTTGAATGTGTTCTTTGGTGTTTGTCCTCACTTTGCCCAACACAATCTAGAAAATCCAACTGGTCCACCACCTTAAAACAACAGAGAGAATGTTTCTGATCTACAAATGCCATTATTATCTTGATTATCTTCTGTTTGCCTCATTGTTAATAAGGGATTGGATCCAAGAGCTGCCCTCTGTTGACAGAAGGCTCAAACTCACAGAAAGTGTTTCTACCCAGTTTTGGGGAATCCTTCCTAGCCCCATGCAGCACTACAAGATCCCTTGACCCTCTGTGTTACCTTTTCAGTGCCTTGGAGGGCCTGGTGTGTGGAGGAGGGGGTGAGGAAAGCTATGTTTGCCAGTCCAGTTGCCTGAATGTATGCCTGGGTCCAACCCTATAGGCACCATTCTTCAATTAAATGGTATGTGTGATTTCCATTACAAGGGTACCAATATCTTTTCCATACTGTTGCCTTCTCCAATAATGTCTCAGACTCCCTCCAGATGTCTCAAACTCCCATAATCCCTAAGGGTAGTAGAGGGGACATGGGGAATTGCAGGCCGCTTAACCTTACAACCATTCTAGGAAAGACAATGGAAAGGCTCATAATAGCGAAAGATCTAGTACCCTAGATAGGGAAGGGAGGTTGGCAGCCACACAACACAGCTTCTGCAAAAACAGGTCCTGCCAGACGAACCTTGTGAAATTCTATGACAAGGTTTTGAGGTGGCGAGATGGAGGGGATGCAGTGGATGTGGTTTACCTGGATTTCAGCAAGGCCTTTGACAAAGTGCCCCATGATATCCTTGTTGAGAAATTGAGGAGTTTTGGGATAGACCAAGGCACTGTTTGATGGATTAGGGCATGGTTGACAAACTGAAAGCAGAGGGTAACTATTAGTGGGGAATCATCAGACTGGTGGTTGGTGATGAGCGGGGTTCTCCAGGGCTCAGTCCTGGAACCGATCTTTTCATCAATGAACAGGAAGAGGGGGTGAGAAGTCTGCTGATCAGATTCTCAGATGATACTAAAATGGGGGCAGTGGGCACAAGTGAGGTTCAGGTACTCCAGATCCAGAAGAATCTGGACAGACTATGGAAGAGGGCCGGGGACAAGAGGATGGTGTTCAGTGCAGACAAGTGCAAGGTCTTTCACTTGGGGCATAGGAATGGGTGTCATAAGTACAGGTTAGGGGACAAGTGGTTGGAGAACAGCACTTATGAAAAGGATCTCAGGGTGCTGGTGGACTGCAGGCTAAACATGAGTCAGCAGTGTGATGCGGCGGTCAAGAGGGCGAACACCACCCTTGGATGCATAGTCAGAAGGGTGGCTTCTAGATCCAGAGAAATATTACTGCCACTCTGTACGATTCTGGTGTGCCTGCAAATGGAGTATTGTGTTCAGTTCTGGGCCCCTCATTACAAGAGGGATATAGCAAGGTTGGAATCAGTGCAGCGAAGGGCCACAAGGATGGTGACTGGTTTACAAGGTAAGCCATATGAGGCCAGACTGAGAGAACTGAGTCTTTCAGCCAGGAGACTCAGAGACTCAGAGGGGACCTGTCAGCAATATATAGATATGTGAGGGGGTGTCATGTAGAGGTGGGTTGTTACCTTTTTTCCCCTGTGGATCTGGGTAGGACATGTTCCAGTGGAGCAAAGCTCAGGGAACCAAGGTGCAAAGTGGATGCCAGGAACTACTTCCCGAGAGTTAGGGCCCCTAGGGTATGGAATGGGTTTCCACAGGAGGTGGTTGAAGCTCCATCAGTGAGGGTAGGCTGGACATGCACATGGTAGGCATGTCATGAGTGGAGCCAGCTGGAGCTGGGGGTCGGACTAGATCGCCCCGGAAGCCCCGTCTGACTCTCTATGTTTCTGTGTTCACTCTATGAACTGGGGATGATAGAAGTTGTGGTATGGTGCATCTAGAAAATGCCAGCTTGAGGAAGCCTCAGTGCTAGCATTATGCTGTGTTACTACTACAAAAGAAAGTTCCATACAGTAAAGAGGAACTGTATGATGAAATGCATTGATGTTACAATGCCACAATGGAGAAGAGAGAGAATAAGCAGAGGTGGTTTCAGAAAAAAGCAACATGGTAGAAACAGCACATGACAGCATACAAGTCACAAGTGGAGGTTAAGTCCTATTGAGTTCAATGGTGCTTATTTCCAAGTGAATAGGTGTGGTACAGAATTGCAGCCTAAATTGTTCCCCATGGAATTTGTGGCTTAAGTACCACCAGAGGACTCCCCCCCCCACCCCATGATTACAACCCCATGGCATAAAGCAGCCACTTACAAATACTAGTTTGTTACATGGAGCCGTTTAATAAAGAGGCCTCAGCTGGGACAGGGAACATGCATTTCACATGCTCTGGCATTATGTCCTGTAATTTACAGCATGGGGGACAGGTCCAGATTAATACCAGAGTGGCTAAACCCAGAGTAATGGTGATACTACTGATTAACGCATGTTGAACTGAGCCCAGAGTCTGGCCCATTGGGATTAATTGGCATTTTTATACTAGTGTAACAGAGCGAAGACTGACACACCAGTTTTTACAAGTGGAGTGTCAAGTTGGTTGCTTACTCAGATATTTCAGCACTGCAACTGCTTCGCTGCATGAACTTTGCAGTCCCTTGTCTTACCCCCTCAGCTCCAGTACACACACCTGCATACTTTCCCGCTCGTGCGTTTACCCTCGCCCATTCTCATGCCTTCATGTATGCAGACTGTGCATGCACATTTGCACTTGTTGTACGTAACCTTATGCGTATCATTTTGTGTGTACTTCCTTCCTACATTGTATCAGAACTCCAGCATTCTCCTCTCTCCGCTCCACACTTTTGCTAGTTACAGTTGCTTTGCACAAACAAAAATCTGCTGATATAAAGGCAGAGAAGCCCATTCTGACCTGATTTTTGCACAAAATGAGGGCATCATGGGGGGTTGTATTAATATTCTTCTTGTTTTCAAATAGAAAGACCTGACTTTACACTCGAGAATTGACATTGGTCTAACCTGCCAGGGTGTGGGCTGCTGAGTGTTGTCATTTGTATGCAGGTTTTCTTTACCCCATCAGGCTGTGTGTGTGTGTGTGTGTGTCCTTTTCTCCCTGTGGAAACCCAACTGGGTTTGGTTGGGCTGTAGCCCTTGCTATTGGTTCTAGGCCATCATGTGCCAAGCCTGGCCGAGGCTTTGGGATGCTCTGTGCTTGCATTAAATCGATCCACTGCTGCACATTAGAGCTCAACCTGCCAGTGAATCAGACCTTTTCTTTCTTTTTTTCTCATTTCTCTCCCTGCCTGCTTGCCTCCCTCCCTCCCTAACACCAGTCTTATTTTAGCTTACCCAAGAGGAGGAGGAGGTGGAGGAGGAGGAGGAGGTGGAGGAGGAGGAGGAGGAGAAATACAGGGCAGGAAAAAATACTAGACATTGCAGCAACCAGGGAACCCTTATGAGTAGATGGTGGATGGCAACTACTTCTCTTGTCTCTTTCATTTTCTGGATTTTACAGGATTTCTATGCTGCATTCAGATGAGGCTAAACTGACACACTCGCTCTCTTTTTCACTGTCTCACACACGCACACACACTCATACACGCAATCACACCGGGGAAAAGGCAGGAAGAGCGACCGCTGGATAGCAAGGGGGGAACATCCCACAGCCTGAGAAGCTTAAAGGGAGCCCAGAGCTTTCACCCCTTCAGATCTTGGACTATGCTGAAGATAGCAGGATGAAGCTCCAGTGAAAACAAACCTTGGGAGGGGGGATTTTGTTTGATTTTAGCGTGGTTTGGGAGATTTTTTGTGTGTGGGTTATTTTTCTTCCTTTTTTGGGGGGGAATTCTAATTGCTTTTTTCCTACCAATGCAGTACTTTATTTTTTTATTTATGAGATGGGAGGGCATGTACTGATCTGATAAATGTTAGAGAAATAATATTTTATATATTTTTTTCCTTGGGAGTGCAAACATTTGCTAAGCTGCCCACCTCAGAAGAAGCCTGCATTTTCCACACCAAATTGCATTGCAAATACCTAGACAGAGAGACTAATTTTGATGCTATCTTTTTATTTTTTATTTTTTTAAATTTCAATTTCTTTCCCCTCTGGCTTGGAGAAGAAAGGCAGGAGCAAGGAATTGGTGCATTCAATTTCTTTAATTGCATTTTTTTTCTCCCTTGGTGGGGAGGAGATGCTGCTGTTGCTACATTTAATTGTCATTCCCCCCTCCTCCTCCCAATGGCAATGCATTTTTTTAATTTTTTAAACTGAAACATTTTTAAGAGTGCATTGAATCTCTTTCATTGCAAATAATTTTAGGGACAGTTTGGTGCATTGGTCCTTTTTCCTTCTAACTACAACCCACAGTCTGGGGATTTTTTCCTTCATTTGTGGGGTGTGACTGTCCCCCCCACAATTGCAACCTTTTTGGGTGAAGGGTGAGGGGGATTTGGACATCGCTTCCACCCTGCAAGGGGAGGTGAGAGGGACCATGTCCAGGATCTTTGCTGCTTTCCCCAGCCGTGCTCCAGCCTGAGTGCCCCCTCCCTCTGCTGCAAGCTCCCCTAGCAGCATCCTACAGCAGCCGATGGGATGTGATGAGCGTCTTCTCTCCAGCATCATCCTCAGCGGCATAACCCCCGGCCCTTTGCTCTTTGCAGGATGGCTCGGTTTGGAGACGAGGTGCCAGCTCGCTATGGGGCAGGAGGCTCGGGGGGAGCTGGCTCCGGAGCAGCAGGCGGCGGAGGTGGCCGGGGCGCTGGGGGCGTCCGGCAAGGTGGTCCCCCAGGGGCCCAGAGGATATACAAACAGTCGATGGCCCAGCGAGCCCGCACCATGGCACTCTACAACCCCATTCCTGTCCGGCAGAACTGCCTGACTGTCAACCGCTCCCTTTTCCTCTTCAGTGAGGACAACGTGGTGAGGAAATACGCCAAAAAGATCACCGAATGGCCATATCCTTTCTATGGGGGCTTCCAGTGCCAGGACCTAGGCCGCAGTAGCAGCTTGAACTCGAGAGGAAGATATGCCAGTGTGTCCCAGTCCAGTTCCTGCATGCCTGGTCCTCCCTATGCATGAAGCCCCTCCTGCTCGTCCCCCCCCCCACCCCAGACATTCCTACTCAGCCACCGCAGATCGGTAGCATCCATTTACCCCCATCTGCATGCGTTCGCTGCCGCCTCATCTCATCTTTGCCAAGGCACCTTTTCCTTCCAGCCCAGACTCAGATGCAGCTCCTAATGCTGCTACTTCTGTCTCTGAATGCATCCCTGTCCTGTACTGCTTTGTTGAGGTGCCCCTTTTTCCTTGTGCCTCATAGCTCTCTGCTCATTATGCCACTCTTTTAATTTATACGTTGCTTTATGGGTCTGTCTTTCCCCTGTATGCAAGCTGTACTTGTGCAGGGGGCACTTGCCATCCATACACCTGCTGCTTTCTCTGTATCCCCTAGTTCTCCCCCATGGCCCTTTACCTCTGATACCTGTTAATGGACTGTTCTCTCAAACAGGTTTTTTTTTAATCCATGCAAAGGGTGGGGTTGGAGGTATGGAAGCAGGAGAGAGAGCATCATTTTTCATTTCCTGTAGTTCAGGCTGCTGGAGACTGTCTTGCCCTCATTTCCCCTTTTCCTGGCAGAGGGGCATATAGGCCCAGGACCTCCTAGTAAGTTCTGGTTAGTTAGCAAGCAGGCTGGATCCCAGAGGTATGGTTGCAGCTCTTCAACCATTACTGACAAGGAGTTGTCAGGCAGTTTTGGGTCAGGAATCAATTCATTCTAGCCTCTAGAGAAGGCATTTGGGGAGGAAAGAGCAACTGAGTGGAGGCTCCATGAGCTTCAATGTAGCCCAAAGTCAGAGGCAGCAACTGAGGGAAAAAAGAAAGGTGAAACTAAGCCAGAACTATATCCCAGAGAGCAAGCTAAAGTCGTCCCCTGCCCCAGTCCTGATGTTCATCTCAACAGAGTGCCTTTTCCTTCATAGGCCTGCAATCCAGGGACAGATGATTCCGAGAACTTGAGGGCCCAGGTGTGTCCAGAAAGCATAGACAGTGTATTGAGAACAACATAGGGTGGCTGAGAACTGATTTAGGAGACATGTTAGGTTAGTGCTGGCCCTTGCATATGAGCACCTTCTCAGGCTTCCGGTTTCTTCTGATGGCAGAGAAAAAAAATGCAAGAATCCCAGCCTCTGCAGACTTCAACTTGGTATGTAAAGATCTTATTTTTTGCTATGATTTTTTGCTATACAGCTAGATATACAAGTGTGTCATTGCTTTTATGTTTGTATACACCACAAACCTATTCCTTCCCTGGTAAGAAATGGTCGGTTCTGCTGAGAGTCAGGATATGGTTTAAGACCAAGGTATTGTCTCATGGCTGGGAAATATACTGTCATTTTGGAGAGTGCGAAATTCCTCACACGCAAGTGCTGGGAGGCACATTGAAATATGAGGTACTGGTTGCAAGGAGATATTGATTCTGGAATAGCAGTGTTGCTTGTGTGCAGTGAAAGTCTTTTTGAAGTGTGGCTGTCTTGCCTATAGCAGGCTTTGTAATAAAACAGGCCTGTGTATTTGTGAAATGTTGTTGTCAGCTGGAGGGCAGAAGCATACATTTTGTTTACAAGAATGTGAAGCTAGAACAACTTTCTTGAAACCAAAGGGTTAATGCAGATATAAGAACTTAAAGGTGTTCAATTGCTTGTGCTCATCTTACCATCCAACAGCCTTCCAAATGCTTTGATTTTTTTTAAAAAAATATTGCAAGTACTCTAGCTTGCTGTTCACCTTAACAAGAAAGATTACTGAGCATGTGCACTGCAGGTCTTTCATGTTAATAAAAGTGGGTACTGAAGAAAAAATGGCTGGGTGGAGACAGATGTGTGATAGATGGATTGAGAAAGAATCTGCTAAATTTCTTTCCGTGTACTAAAATTGTTTTTAGTTCCTGAGAACCTATTGAAGAAGCAAGTTACTCCTGCTTATAGTTCTATATGGAATTTCAGGTGTTCCTTTGCTTTTAGAGAAAGCAATGCAATAAAATTTGGGAGTTTGGTGGTGGTGGAAACCAGTTTGATCCTGTCAGATTTTCATCTAAATTGTAATCATAGCTCAGCCACAACCTTACTGGATTATTTTGGCCAAGTTCCTACATTTTTGTTTTCCACCTGGAAAATGGGAATAATAATGGGGAAAAAAATCACAGGATAAGATTGCTTTGCCTTGAGGATAAATGAATCCAAGACTGCAGCACAGTGCTCTTTCACACAATACAAATACCACAGAAATGCCCATAGTCTTAGAGGTGGTTCCCATGACCAGCTGTGGCAGATGAGTTCCACAAGCACACATCACTTTCCTTTAGCACTGCCATAGCCTTCAAAGTTGGTACCCCATTTCCCTACTCAGAGCTGCCTGGCTGGATCATAGCCATCATTAATGGTAATCACAGCCACCATGATTATATAAAAGAGGCAACTCCTAGCACTCCTATTATTCCCAGTGTTCTGTCCTGCGCTCCCAGCATTCCTCACCCTCTACGATACCAGTCAACAACGTAGGCCAAAGATACCCCAAGGTTGGTTTCAGTTTCCCCACCACTGCCCTAATTGCCAGCCAGGAAGCACAAATAAAACAGAAAGTGCAGTGGAATTCACATTTGTAACAGGATGATACTTGGGGCAATGCAGATTGTTGCCTTGCCATTGCCACACCCTAAAATCCCTTCACAAAGTGACCCTCCGTCAAAATGTGTTGCATGACTACGAAATGGGAGTTGGGGCATGGCTGTGCAGCTGAAGGAGTGGAAATATGTGGATGGGGCTGGTTCATTTCACTTAGGGAGAGTGGCTTCATGATTTCCATTTACTTCCATCAAGTTCTTTGCGCAAACTAAACAAGCCGCAGACGGGAGGGGACAAAACCAGGGCTGGCATGAAGGATAGGCATGGCTGGGCCAAGGGTGCACATTCCAGCACAGCCCCACTGGGAAGACTCCCTTGGGTGCCTACTTCTTTTCACCATTGCAACCTGCTTGTTCACCTGCTTCTCCTCTTTGCCCAGGTAAAGATGGTAGCGAGAAGGAGGAACAGTAGATGCCACTTCCTGCTTGCTCATTGGCTCTCTGCCTGTCAAGCAAGCCAATCGGAGCAATGAGAGATGAAGAGCTGTGGGGAGGTAGTCTCACTTAGGGAGGGTGGTTGTCAGTGCTGTTTTGCCCATGAGCCCTGGAAAAGCTGGAGCCAGCATTAAGTAAAAGTCACTGTGATCAGCAGAGGCAGCTTTAGCCTCTGACTCTTATGTCGGAGTCATAAGAGTTATTCATCCTCACAGGAAAGCGTACAGCACTCATTTGAGGACAGTGTTGCAGCAGGGGCAAAACTTGCTTCTTCGGGCCCTGCATGACTCCTTGCGGAGAGAAACAATACCTTGTCGCCACATGAGATGTGGGACTGTGCAGGAGAAGTCCTCATGTTTTGACATTCCCCGTGCCCCTGTAAAGCAAGATTTGCCTGCAGGTGGGGGAAAGAGGGGCAACATGGAGCATTGTATTATTTAATTAGCATGTGTTATACTCCATTTTTCAGAACAATTCTCTTAGTAGCTTAGCCAAAATAAAATATAAGAATATTAAAACACACTAAGGTATTTCAAAAGTAAAACGCAACACAACTGCACTGAATCCTCCAAAAACCATTGATAAAATGTCCTCCTGAATTAAAAGGCTTCCAACACCCATTTAAAAATGTGAAGTGAGCATATGACAGCCCTTCTCAGCCTTCTGTCCCTAGATACTGTTTCTGGATTGGAACCTTTTGAAGAGGACTGGGGGCTGGAATATGGAAAAGTACCTTTTCAAGGATCTCATTCAATCTGGTGGAATAGGATGGAGTCAGGTTTGGAAGAGCAGGCTTGACCCCCAGCCCTTGCCTCCACCTGGGGCAATGACCTCGATGATGGGGATGGTGGAGTGTGGATGGAGACATATTGGAGTGGACATAATAAATGTGAATTGGGAAGGGACCAAAACATTCCCCTCTGTTCCAGCTCGCAATTGATGGGCCTTCAGCTAATTACCAGTAAGGAGCATGTGGCCTCATCCAGGGATTTATATTTTATATTCTAACCAGAAATATAAAGACTATGGGTGGGATAGTATTTCAGCCCCAAAAGCCATTATGCTTGTGGCTCAGCAAAATTGTCTGCCCTTATGTCTTCTTTTTTTTATATATATTAGTGTGTGTCAGCTGGCACTCGCTCTATGATTACTGCTCATTTTGTATGGTGTTTGCATGATGGTTATGAGAACCTCTTTAAGTCTCGAAAAAGCACACCACAGCCTTCAAGTGAGTCTAATCCAAGTAAGACTAGAGATTAGATTTCTTTCTACCTAAATATACCTCAAGCCTCCCTCATTCATGGGGAAGAGGAAGGGACAGGAAAGTTTGCTGTTCATGTGATTACTATTGGATGGACAACTGGGCCAATCGAGCTGCCCTCCCGTGTGTGTGTGTGTGTGTGTGTGGTGGGGGTGCAGTTGTTGCCTCATTTCCAGAGATGTTGCTGCCTGGGTAGATATTACATTGCCCGAAGAGCCACTGGTGTGTTTGATGGAACAGTAAATCCTAAGTTGTGCAAAATGGATAAACCCACCATTTCTCAGAGCAAGTTAGGTGGATGGCAGAAAACCACAGAGGACCAAAGAAATTCAGATCTCTGGGGAAGTTCTCTTGGACTTTGCTAGCAAATGGTGCCGTTTTATGGGGAAGTGGGGCATAGACACATGCCTATGTTGGATGCTCTTGAGAAAGAAATTCTGTGAGGGGAAGCACAAATGACTCCTGTTTATTCTCCTGTGTGCCTGGAAAGAGGACTCCCTATGCCAGGAAAAGTATCTCCCAGTGAGGATGAATGTATCCTGCCCCACTTTGTCCAAAAGAACAAGAATTAGGAAGGC